TTTTCTTTTTTATTTTCCCATAGCGATAATATTAGGTTGGCACATAAGTTTTGCAACTTTTCGCGTAACTTTTTTCTTATTTTATATAGCAGTTTTATTTTGTGACATCATTTAGACCGTGATGTAAGCTGCAAGTCTGCGCAAACCGTTTGATTTTTGATAACGTGATACAAAAAATCTAAGCATTTTTTGAAAACTGCTGAAAATCGAGGTTTCACGATTTCTTGGCAAACATGAAGCCCTACGAAACCTGATTCAGACATATGAAAAAGCAATTGTAGGCAGCATGTAGCTGGAAGTTGGCACATTGGAATCAGTGAAAAAGAAATGAAATTTAAACACAAATTAAGGTGGGGCGCCTTTGAGAAGTTGAACAATATAAATGCGTCAAGTTTTGAAGGCAGTTTGTCAATAACTAAGCTGCGAAAAGTCAGGATTTGCTATAACTTTGCACTGTAGGGTAATCCTATGCGTTGAACACGAATATCACATTCATTTGTCGCTAAAATGAAATTCATTTTTTGATCTCACGAACGAGGCCTTTTCATGCGAAACGGATCTCATTTTTGCGATCAGCATGTCGAATAAGCCCTATAGGTCAAGTTTCAGCAAAATCTGATGCTTTTTAAAAACTTTTTCGTAGTATCGTTAACCTACCGTAATCCTTACATAACACGGTAAAATTCGGCAAAAATGTGAGCATTAGAAGCTTACATCATAGTCCTTATATCGCCAAAAAATGAATGTGCTACGTTCAAAGGGACAAAAGTTATATAAAAAGTTGCATTACTTATGTGCCAACCTAATATATACGCTTTGTTGTGAAGATAAGATGGAATCTGAGTTTCCTATATTTTGACTTGCTTGCTTCCAACTCTTTTTTCATAGAAATTTACGAAAATTTAGGCTATAAGTCGTTTTTGGCTGCTCTGATTTGCTTTGTTACCTCTGGTATCAAGCTGTCAGGTTGGCTGAAAAAAATTTCCTTTTTTTCATGCATCTATTGTTTTTACCCATGTTTTTTGAAGGATGAGTAGTTTAGAGCTTCTACTTTCACATACCAACCAATCAGGAGGTTCCTACTACCAGTAAGGATAGTTATGCTTCAATATGGCTAATTTTCCAAAAGCACAATTCCGAAACTTTGTAGGCTCTCCGCTTTCATGCTGCAGTGGATGTAGAGAGAAGTAAACTGACGTATGGATTAGGGAATAACAGTCGAAGTTGTAATCTGCCACTTTGAAATTCTTTAATTGAAAAATCGAAATTATCCCACATTTGCGCACAATAGAATATTAAGGTACCACTTCTTTGCTTTTTTCTTCATAAGAAAAAAGCTTCTATTCAACTAGCATTTACATTACGATTTTCATCGAAATTCTCTTTCCAAAGATTACTAGACAAAAATTTGTCTGCAACATTTATAGGAGCCTCAAATCAGCCAACCTTAAAGGCAGTGTCTCGGCAGAATTTTTTCGCCAGTTTTCGGAGCCTTCTCGTCATGAAGAATCCTAGCAGGGCTTTTTAGCGCATGAAAATGGCGAAAAATGAGTTTTTTCAGAACTTTCCGTGTCCGCCCGCATTCAATACGGGAAGTCTCCCGCCCCGCCTCCCTTATTCCGGGCTCCGCCCACTTACACAAGTTCTCCACTGAATGCGGAATTGGAAAGCTTCTGAAAAAGCTCATTTTCGCCATTTTCATGCGCTGTAAAGCTCAGCTATGAGTTCCTTATGGCGAGAAGACTGTGAAAAGGTGAAAATCTGGAAAACGAAATTCTCCCTAGACACTGCCTTAAACTTTTTGTGCTTTCTAAATAAAGAAAATCAAACTCAATTTCTTCTCAGCAATAACTTGTGATCAATTGCAGCAGTCTTTCACCAGAAAAGTTTTATGCTTCCGCCGAGGACTCTACGTCATTTAGACCCATCGGACATTTCCACAGCCCTACTTTTTAGGTGTTTCGGCTGAATATCAAAGCACGCTCTAATCCACCAAAAGAAAAACAATGTCGGCTGGATTCATAACTCACGTGCATGCTCTTCGATGCTTGTCCTCAAGCCGTACATAAATCTTATTGTTAGTCGTACGTCAACGCGTCCAAGAACAAAGGCGGCCATTATGTGAGCTATGCGCACGTTTGAGTTAACGATTCTTAAGACAAGCTGCTTCGTAAGCTTATCGAGCTTTCAGCTTCTTTTCCTTTCCACTCTCGTAAATATCCTTCAGTCATATCGATTTTCCTAGCACTCAAATAGTGGATAATCACATATGTAGTTTAGAAAGTGTATAGCCTAGAAGGTTTGAGTTCAATGTAGTGTCTCTGCGGTGACGACAGCACTTGCGCGGAAAGAAATGCCATGCTATGCTTGCGTTTTTCGCTGAAAGAATGGCTATAGAGCATACATAGCTATTTAGTGCTCGTAAAATCTATCGCCAACGCTAAAACGCTACATTATTCATCAAATTTACTAGATCATAAAGGTCTGAAAAAATATTTTCATGTTGTCTGATTGTGAGAAGTGTTCCTTATTGTTAATTGAGCAAAGTATACCATTTGATTTAACTGGATTGGCGGATGGAAGGCGGGGCTTCGTGACCTAATTAAGGCTAGAGAATGATTAATGAGCACGTTCCCAGAGAGACGCAGATTGCGACGCAGTGAGCGGTCGCCTTCCAGCCGGCAATCTCGTTAAGCAAAGGGTATATGTAGTATGAACCTGTCTCAGTCTCGACTTCCAAATTTGCTGAGTGTGTAAGTGTGTCGAATTGCCGGATCTGTTCTATTTATACCAAATAATTTCTAAAACAGGCTTTTAGTCCAATGATAGATTCTAGAAAAGTTCACAAACATCCTCTTTGATTCTAGATCTATTTTCTGCCCTAAAAGTGCCTTGCTCTAATGCACGATTATTATAATCAGCACATCAGGTGATTTCCTAAGTCGCATTTGTCCTTTCAACGTAGTTCAAAAATTAGATTGGTCCGAAAGTTTGTTTGCCTCAACCTTCGGAAATTCGTGTCTCTTTGCTATCCGCACAGATTTGCATGGAATGAATTTTGCTGGAGTAAAGAGATCACATAGTTTTCAAAGGTAGCATTGCTGCTCTCTACTAAGCACGAGCAGATTTTAAAAAATGCAAGAGCAAGAACAATCAACTCGTTAATTCTAAGCGAGCCCTTATAGCAAAATTCGTCACGCCAAATATCGAAACAAGCATTAGGTTTCATCATTTCTTCTTTGTAGCTAATTGTAAGCAAACTTCGTGCTGATCGTTTTTTAAGAGAACTTATGATTTTGCACGAAACCAAATCCGCTGTAGATCAGCACGAGTTTGCTCAGCTAGAAGGAGGAGGTCAAAAACCCCGAGTTTATGGCTGCTTCGATTTTCCCTCTGGCGTTTGTAATTTTTTGAGCTTGCTAAAAATTTGCCAAACTCAAGCGATTCTCTTCATTTGCTTCTAACTCTCGAATCTTCATTTTCATTTGTAGCAGAGGCACTAATATAAAGCTCAAAATTTTCGCTTTGAATAAAATATTTTAATATTTTTGATGATCCTTACAAAATTCCAAACATGGTTTTAGGGGTTTGGTTTTAACATTGGTGGTTGGTACATTGGTTCGCCACTCTCTGACATCCGCTCACACTAACTCAGGACAGTGCTGTAAAGAGCAAAAATTCCTAACAAAATTAATTTCGAGTGGTTCCATGTAGAAGCAAAGATGATTTTTTTGAAGAAGATGCGAACCAACTTTCGGACCAACCTAATAATCTTACAATGCGTCGATCACGTAGTATAATCTTTTGGCGGTCTCAAATCAAATGTGGGCAATCTTCATGGGCATAGTTGCTTTTGCCTTAGGTTGTGGACCCTATTGGGCAGAGTCTAGAAGACAACTCAAAAGGGTCCCATATTCAGCTGGACATGCGGGTATCTGGTATATCCTTCCACTCGTATGGGCTTTATGTACTTGTCAATCACTTTGAAAACCCTTCCTTCCTTTTTCATCCACTCATAGTCTTTTGCCTTCTGAATCGATGCGCATGGGCATCTGAAAAACGGATGAGAAGTTCTGAAAAAATCTTTTGAAAGGTGTCATGAGCCTGCGACGATATGCGCATAACTTGTGATCTGCGACGGATAATTGAATATTCCGCTCGAATTATGGGTATTATATCTCTTTAAAGAGATCATTTCTTCAGTAGTGTCCGTGCTGCCTCCACTGGAATTTTTTTCAATTCAGTTTGCTGAGACTTCGCTTCGTAACATCCTATATTACTCACTGCTCAAACTTTTTCAGAATGTTGTTATTAGCCAGCTCTAGCTCAACAGCAAAAGTGGGCTGTGTTAGTGCATCAATTTCACTTATGCATTGTTTTTGTTTTTCGTTCTCCCTCGAATGTCAAGCCAGGATCTGTCTGGCAGACATTCAGTAGTTTTTTTTCCAGTAATTTATATCCTGTTTGGCCACAAAGTATGTATAACCTGTATTCATGTAGAAAATAGTTATTTCATTCCTTTTTTTAATGCATGTAAATTTGCAGAACGAATTATCTGCACAAATTGACCATGTAATTGTATATTAGTCAGAAGCTCGCCAACATTGTGAAGCTCTAATGTAGTCAGACTCTCTAGAATATTTTCTCCACCCCTCTCCACTCTCCTGCAAAGCTCTTTTTCATCACGAAAGAATTGTTTGCCAGTGTGCTGAGTGCTTTTCCCGATACTTTGTCGTCATGGACAGCACCTAATGAGGTATGCGAGAAGCAGCAAAGCAAATCGTTTGGCACATTTCCATTAGAATTCATTCTATATGCATTCGCTCGTTTGTGTGAAAAAACTGTCTATCATGCACCATATCTGGCTGCAATTCAAGTGTCCGTTTGTACAACTACTTGGTGTTCAAAAAATTTTATTTGAGCTCTATTTTGTCTTTTTTCTCCGCGAATGCGTCCGTGTTGAAATATTTTTCGACTTTTGCGTCCTATTTTTGTTCCAGATGCTAGGTGCCAGTAGTAGTGAAGATGATGATGACGAATTTGTAAACGAAGAGCCTGAGGTAAGTTTCATAATGTCCACTCTGTCATTTTTTGACAATATTCTTATATGACATTAATCATTCCAGTGAAACTCGTGAGGACCAGATTTATAGTTTTAATCTCCGACGAGTGCTTTTTATCCACACTAAAGCTATTTTCATAGGCTATAACTTTTTTAGCCTCCGCTCAGCTACAAAATTTGCCTTGAAAAACTTTAGTTGGCATTTTATGATGCTTGGAAATTTCCGCATCACTAGTCTAGAGCTTCATGAATATTCGAGGCGTAGAGATAATCGTGCATGCAAACGATGTACATCCTGTTCACGGTGATTGGAGATGTTTTGAAGAAAGGGGGGGGGGGGAGAGAGGGGGGCAAAATACTCAGCTAGTGCTTTTTGCTTCCATTTTGCCTACTTTAAAAAGTCAACTTTTTTATGGGCACTAGTGAACCAATAATCCAAAGGTGCTAGATTTGCAGGCGCGCTCGCTGTGGGATCCGCGCGGTTCCCGCAGTTTCACCTTTTTGAATAGGTACAACGATTATTTATATGTAGAATTTCTCAAATTTGGAGCTCGTGCATAAATGGAGATATAATATTTGCATAAAGATACAATTCTTGCAAGCGGATTATCGGATGGTCCTTGTTTGTATTTTTGCTTATGGTATAGACAACAAACTTTCGCTTTCTGTTTACGCCATATCAAATTACTCTATAACTCTCAAAACCTACGCTATGATCCTCCGAAGGAATAATCTAGTTGGGAGCAGGATTTCCTATGTCTCAAGTTGTTTTTTTAGGTGACCTACTCTACCAAGAAGCGTTCATTACTCGGGCAACTGTCTCCACGTTCGGCATCGCCAGCCCCGTCCGATTCCGTCAGTCAAACGAATTCATTGAAACGAAACAATAGCAATAGCACATATCGGCGGAAGGATTCAAGCCACAGCCAAACACCTGCCCGATCGGTGCGTAAGTCCATCAGAGGGTGTTGTGAGATTTCCGCAGTCATAGCCACTGTCTTTAGTAGATTTAGCGGTTAATCTAGTGTCCGCTGCGGTGAGAACAACATTTGCGCGAAAATAAGGGCTATGCTGGGGTGCCGTCAATTTGCTTGCGGCCTGCGTGTAAACATTAGCTTTAGAGCGCGCATTGTCATTGTTTACACGCAATGTTATACACCATAAGGACAAACTACATTATCTCAGAACTACTAGGTCTCAGGTTCACTGTTCCCTGTCTCAGAATCTGAAGAAGAGGCTTTAGAACAAGGACAAAAATACGAGAAGGATTGGGGTCATAAGCTCGCACTCGCACACCTTTGTAAAAAAATCTCATTCCTTTTTAATCCTCTAAGAATTAATGAAACTACTTTTTTCTGGCGCTAAATAGCCAAATCAGCGAAGCAAATTCGACTCTACAAAAGCTGTCTGCATCCGTCCGCGATGCGTCAAAGACATGAATGCAAGAGCTTAGGGGACATCGATAGGGTTCGAACCGCAACGCATCAACGGCCGCAGCGCGTACATTGTCTACGTTTCCAGTGCGCAAAATGTATGGCCGTACTGCGACGCTCAGAATTTTTGAATGAACCATACACATATTTGCTCACGTTTAAAAATATGGCGGAGCAGGAGGCAAGCCGTCACACCCAGATACTGGATGCCGCTGCGTCCTGGGAAGACAATGCATGTTAGGAAGAGACTGCAGACGGCTAAAGGAAAGTAACTGAGAGACGCTGACGGCGTCCGCAGTGGCGCCCTGTCCCTGCGTGCGATGATTCGCCTGTACTATTGCTCATCTACGCTCGTCATCTTCCTATAACAAATATTCAAACTTTCGCTATAAAATTACTGACTTCTAGAAAGAGAGCTGGAATGGAGGGCTTCTCGGTCCACCATCATTCGACGGTCAATATCCAGCTACAAATGACGTGGGCACTTTTTTGTCTAAAATGTGAAAATGCATGAAAATCCGGTTGATGTATCGTTGAAGCATGACATGAAATTTCCGAAAACTTGTAATGTTTACCGTTTTGGGAAGAAACGTGATGTTTTCTGGTGGTCTCGTGTCGTTAATGTGCGTTTTGCGATAATCATAAACTCTACAACGGAATGGAATATCTTTTCTGAAAGGAAAATGACCATTCTTTGAGTACGTGACTGTTTCCTCGGGCGGTAATTCTGTAACTCCTTCTCACTGACAATATCTCTAGGGATTCTGTTCCGAGAGCGCATCTGTCTGTGATTATCAAAATTATCTTTTTCATTCTATACTCAGCACAGCCTTTTTTCTGTAAGTGCTAAAATCAATTCTGAATTTGCACTAACTGCCATTTATCCGAATTGCTCGTATAGGATACGCCTGATTCTATATTTAATTCACTTCAAAAATGCTGTCTGTCAACACCTTTCACTTCTCCCGCTCAAATACTTCATGTGGGGCACAGCTGCATCTTGTGTGCCGGCGCTGTTCCACCGCCGTGCTAGCGCCGTGCCGTTACGGGGTAGGCACCAAATATCCATCAGTTCTACCACTGGAACAGTTCTGCTATGGCGCTAGAACGGCGCTGGAATTGTGCTAGCATGGGCAAATTCGCACGCAGCACACATCATTCTTCCTAATCGCAATCTTTTGAGGCTCGTACAATATCTACCGTGTCGCGACCGGTACTGCAATCGTCGCAGGACATATCGGACAACGACTATGAAGAAGATGCACCTACACATTTGGCCACCGATGAGCCAGCCCTCAGCAAAGAAGAACAGGAACGAATACGGTATGAAGCGAAAGTTTGTTGGCTAAAGGCGATTTTTTAATGCGACTTTTAAGGGCCGAAAAAGAAGAAGAAGAACATAAGAAAAATCTACAAATGTATGTGTTTGTAGCACGATGTATAGCTTATCATTTCAATGCCAAACAACCTACGGATATGGCTCGACGGCAAGTGAAAGTCACCAAGCAAGATTTGTCACGCATTAAGGACAGGTAGAGCATCAGTTAGACTTGTTGAACTTTTGGACTTCCTAAAACACATTTGCAGGTTTCAAGCCTTCCTCAAAGGGGAGACAAATATACCGACCGATGAAGCTTTCGCAAAAGCCATGCATAGTTATTGTGAGGTTCGTAATGTTTTGTTATAGGACAGTTTTTTTTTGAAGATGTGAGCTGCGCAAAAGCAGCTTTCGCAAAAGCCATGCATAGTTATTGTGAGGTTCGTAATGTTTTGTTATAGGACAGTTTTTTTTTTGAAGATGTGAGCTGCTTATATATATATGAAAACAATTTTTTCCATTTTAGGTTTTTCTCAAATCAGAACGGGTACAAAAAGTCGTCGCTGCCGGTGGCTTTTCAATGCATGACTTCCGGGAGGTCAGTTTTCATTCCGTTTTTTTTTTGCTCTTTTTTGTCGTATATAATAATGTCTCGCTACATCAGGTAGGATTTTTCACTACACTGCTATTTTTACCGCAAATATGTATGCAGCGTGTTGTGTCTGACTGTCTGCGCCTCTCTGCGCGCGTATCTTTCCGCTCCGTTGCTATGCACGCAACTTTTGCATCTGCGCCTGTGAATGAACTATAATCATAATGTATTAATTCCCAAAACTGTAAAAGCGAGTCAGGTCATGAAGCTAATCGCCCTTTTCTAGGTGTTTCGGTGTAACGTTGAAAAACGAATTCGCTCGTTACCGGATATCGAGGGTTTATCGAAGGAAACGGTATTGAACTCATGGATGGCCAAGTTTGACACCATCACCAAAGGAGATGAGGAGCAACAAGGCAGAACTGCAAGGTAGGTCCTTACGCCAAACTTTGATAAGTCTAATAAAAAAATTCTTCGCAGGGGTCGCGCCCGAAATGCGCCTAATCAGCCGAACGCTGACATTATCCTTGGCAAGGAACAACTCTACGATATGTTCCAACAAGTGTTAGGAGTAAAGAAGTTCGAGCATCAAATTATCTTCAATGCTTTACAGGTAGGTCGCGATAGTGCACATTTGTTTTTATGCGAAAACTGGTCCCCGACTACTTTAGTCCTGCAATTTCTACAAAATGGGACCAGTTTTCGCTTATTCGGTTTTATTCCCTCCGTTTTATTTCTTGCTAGCATTTTTTGTGGAAACTGTTCATCTCGCTTTCATGAATGAAACGTTACAGCTCGATAATCCTGATGAACAAGCCGCGGCAATCAGACGAGAAGTTGCAACTAGGGAAGACGCTTGCAAGGATCTCCAGAAGGTAATTAGCTTGATCAGTGCAAAGGCTTTGAGGTTCTTCGAATCTCTTTCAGATGCGGAAAATCATGCCAAAATTCGTTGTGAAAGACATGGAGACGTTGTTTTTGGATGAAGTTCGACAGTCGATCAACTTACTTATCTCTAACCTGGAATCGGTGCCGGTAACGCCGCGAGGGCAAGCTATGGGTAAACGGAAAGACAAGTCTCGGTTAGATTTTTTCCCATATCTAGTGGTTTCAACTCGAAGATGAGTTAGTGGTCACGGTCGATTATGAAAATGGCGATCTTTAATTACATTCTATTTACATTCCAAATGTCGAGTTACTATGCTTGATTCTTTGTCTAACTGACCGACTGGCTGTTGCTAGGTGTTGACTTCTGTTTTAGTATAGTATTTGACCGGAACTTTTGTTCTTCCTTTGTTTCAAAGTTGCTGAGCTCAAATATGTTTCAGCAGCACAGCCAAATCGAAACGGTAAGTGGTCAGATATATTGCTCGCAAACTACTAACTCTATCTGTTCTTCGTGCTTCTTTCGTTCACCTTTTATTTCTTTTCGCTATCAAGTGTACTGCGTCTTCAGTTTCCCTCGGGAGTTATTTTCGTAAAAAAAGTTGAACACGCGAGGGACACATTAAAGCCTATCACTTTCCTAACAACACTCTATACTATCTTTCTGCAGAATCTTTCTTTCTTGCATGTAAAACGAAACAAAGCACAAACGCACTTTTACACACCACCACACACGCGACGCTTTCGAGTCCTTCTCGTAAGCGAGCTACCAAAAGCACCTCCGAGAAATTGAAAATTACATGTGCATTTTAGATCGCGAAGCATAGAGGATCTATCGCTGTTCAACAGGTTTGCGTTCTTCTTCAGTTTCGCTTCCTGTGTGGTTTTGAAAGTGTGGCAAAAATCGGGTTTTGCTTTGCTTTTTCAATGTGTATGGACTGTGAGCTGAACATTGCACGTTCGTCGTAGTCCGTTCTCAAAACTATCTCTCTTTATGTCGAAGAGAGCATTGCTGGTAAGATAATATTCATGGCAGAAATCTGATGTAAGTTACATTACTTTCGTCTACGTGAGGGCTAGTTTTTTGGTGCCCCTGCGGTGACGACAACATTTGCGCGAAAACAAACGCCTTGTGAATGCCGACAACTTGTTTGCGATTTGTGTGTAAGATGCGGTCATAGACAGGTGCCAGACTCAATCGGTTCAACCCGTTCATCCGGTTTCACCCCATTCGCTATTGGTCAGTTCAGCGATTTGAAGAGGGGTGAACCGAATGAGCCGTTTGAAGCGTACAAATCTGGCAAGCGCGCACTCTCATTGTCTAGGCGCGAATGTTATTTGCAAGAAGAGAGCGAATAAATCCAATACTAGATCACACCTATGTTTTTACTTGCTTCTTAAAGCTGTAGCTCTGCGCGGTATGTATGATGTCGAATATATTCAGACTGAAAACAATGCTCGCTTCGTATAGGCTGTCTCAATGACGTGACATTACCACATAACGGCGTCACAAATCAAACTATCCTCTAATTCAGACTAATTCAGTTTTCGCGTCATCGTCCTACCTATCGAATTACTTGGAGCATCACAGCTTTCTGCCAGTGTGAATAAAACCAATCGCATTTCTATAGCGCCGCATCTTCTATGGTTTCTGTCTTCAAAAAACGCTGTGGGTAATAGCGTTTTTTGAAGACGGAAACCAGAAAAGGTGCGGCGCTATAGAAATGCGATTGGTTTCACACGCTGGCAAAAGGCTGCGATGATCTTATTAGCGTAAGAATAATGATGATCTGTCGTACTGGGAGGGCAGCGGGAGGGGAGGGGGGGGGGGGGGGGGGGGAGGAAGGCTCCATGTCAGGAGTCACGCCGCGCGCCGCGCCGCTTCGCCGCGAACGTCGCGTCTAAGTTTTGTACCCCACAAAACTACCCAGTGCTAAAGTGGCACGGCGCCAGTCCTAGGGTGGTGGGGGGTGGGGGCAGATACATGGCTCGTGTCATAAGTAAGAATGCGCCAGGAGTGCTGGCTTCTGTCTTGCTGACATCGCTTGCGGCACCGCTTCGCGAAAAATTCGCGCCGACCGTGACTCCTGACCGTTCCCCGGGAGGAATTGCGGGCTGCGCGGTTACGGTAGCACTACCGTAATCAGTTGGATCTTTTTATCATTTCCAGTAAATGTTTTGTATTTGAAAAGCTGAAGAGTGTTCGTTTGCAAATCAAGAAGCTTCGGAGGACACGGCCGTTTCTCTACGGCGAGAGAGAAGTATGTTCGAGTAGAGCGGCTTCTCCACTTTCCAGCATGCTCAAAGCATTGTACAGTAGTTTCTGGACTAACTTGTCTTTGAGAAACAGATCTAATTCTTTGCTTTCGTGGAAAAAGTTGAGTTTATTTTATGCACATTAATACCGAGGATTTTGTGACTTTGTCTGTTTGTCTGTTTTATATTACATACAAATAATCATGTCGTGCAACAGAGCAATGGAAAGAAATTTCGAACTTTTTTCTGGATTTCGATTCACACTTTGATAACATACTTTATGACGAGTGTTGCTTTCTATATGGTGTGGCTATCAGATTTTGGGGGGATTTTTTGGAGCTGAGCTGCCGGCATGGGTTTTCGTAGATGAATGAAAAGGTGAAATTTTTCAGTCTCAAGAGGAGAACTAGTTCGGGTTCGCTGAATAAAAATGATAGCGACGACGGAGAGGTGACCTTGACGAAGAGCGATGTTGTGCTTACATTCAACATAGAGGTAAAGTTGTATAACCGTTAGGCCTCGTGCATAGTTCATGCAAGTTCATCGCCTCGCGATTCCCAACAAGACAACTGCTACGAGTCCAGTGCAAGTCGATCTTCCTGCACTTCGGTTGTGATAGTTTTCCGACACGATTAAGTGTGAATAACTATCACGACCGAAAGGAAAGGTGATCGACATGCAATGCACTCGTAACAGTTTTCTTGTGGGGAGAACCGCGAGGAGAATCGTGCGAACTATGCTCGAAACCTTTAAATCATAAATATTATTATCAGGTTGTTGTAATGGAAGTACAAGGATTGAAAGCCATAGCTCCCAATAGAATAGTTTATTGTACCATGGAAGTGGATGGACATAAATTGCAAACGGATCATGCCGAAGCTCAAAGACCATCGTGAGTTCTGTCGTTATTTTATGGATTCTTTATTTGCTGAGTTTCGTTTACATTTGTTAGATGGGATACACAAGGAGATTTCTCTACGAAGAATCCGTTACCTGTCGTCAAGGTCAAGTTGTACTCTGAGGTGAAAAGCATCGTCGCCTTCGAAGATAAAGAACTTGGAAAGGTGAGTGTATCAATATGTAGTTCATAGTGAGTGATTTTGACACATTGTTTGGCTCGTCGCTGTTTTTTTTTTGTTACCATGTTGCCACTACCATCGCTGTCATCGATGTTAAATGGTTAGTCTCATCATAGTATACGCCGTTCAGCCGGTTGGCGACTAAGTGATGTAAAAATCTCGTTAGTCGGTGCAGTCGCGAACAAAAATGAGACTGACCGTTTGTCATGCTTATTAATTGCAACAATTGCAACATTGGCAGTTGGTAACGGAGGTAACCATGCTAGACTAAAGCCAAATTTTTAGCACATTATCTGGTAATCGCCAACCGTTCTTCTTTGTTAAATTAAATTTAAGGTGATTATCCAACCTACGCCCAACTGCTCGCGGTCACCGGAATGGTATACGATGACTGTCCCTAAAAACAGTGCCGATCAGAACTTGAAAATCAGGATAACAATACGGGTAGAAAAGCCACCCAATCTCAAATACTGTGGATACTGTTACTGTATTGGTCGGCAGGCGTGGAAGAAGTGGAAGCGAAGATTTTTTTGCTTGGTTCAAGTAGGTTTATGCCTGCTTTACACAGAGCTTCATACCTTATAAGTTATCTTCAGGTGTCTCAATATGCATTTGCGGTCTGTAGTTTCCGGCAAAAGAAGTCGGATCCAACCGAATTCGTCCAACTTGACGGTTTCACCATTGATTACATGCCTGAGCCGGATCAAGGTAAACTTTTTGATTCCAGATCTAGATATAATGAAGCAAGCGATTCTTTAAACTAACTAAAAACTAGTTATATTACCTTAAATTTGAAATGAAGTGTCCAAAGTGCAGCAACATGTCTCATTCAACCGCAAAGTGTGCGATTGCACTGCGAGAACCGGAGTTCGGATGCAACTCAAAACGTTAGCTCTAGTCAGATGTCGAAATCCTAGCATTTTTTGTCTTTGCAGAAGATTTGCTTATAGCATTACATGTACAATTTAGATCTCGCTGCTCAAGGTGGCAAGCATTTTTTCACAGCCATCAAGGAAGGTGATGAATTGAAGTTTGCGACGGACGATGAGAATGAACGGCATTTGTGGGTTCAGGTGTGTTTTCGTACGCTTCGTTTTCTTTTACCGTACCCATAATGCATCAAACAAAATCCTTGCAGGCCTTGTATCGCGCAACAGGACAAGCTTACAAACCAGTTCCACCTAAACAATCCACTGTAGCTCCAAAAGCTCAGGGATTCCAAGATAAAGCTAGCAAACATGGTTTGGATGATATCATCCAGGTTGGGCTAAGATTGATCTTCAGTCACATCGTTACCCTACATATCATCCAAATTCCAGGCAGATCCCATAAGCTTCAATCATGACCACATATTTGCGGACATCCAACGGCAAGCTTTGAATTTCCGGATGAACGAACCCATATGTTCTTTGGTGACACTAGCCTCTTTTCCTTCCTATTGTGTTTTGCACGAGTCTTTCATGTCAGGGGTGGTTTTCGCCTGGACAAGTTTTTGTTCTGGACGAGTACTGCGCTCGGTATATGGTCCGCGGATGTTATCGACATGTCACACTGCTCTCTAATCTTCTTGACAAAGCAGATCAGGGACAGTTAATTGACCCTACGCTCATCCACTACTCATTTGCGTTTTGCGCCAGTCATGTGCACGGTAACAGGTGGGTACAGCTGGATGTGTAATTAATAATCATCTGTTATAACTGATACAACATGTAATGAGTGCACTTGCCTAATCAGTATATCAAGAAATTGTTGTACAGGCCAGATGGTGTTGGTACAGTAACTCTCGAAGAGAAGGAGAAGTTTCAAGAAATCAAGGAACGATTACGGGTATTGTTGGAAAAGCAAATTACTAATTTCCGGTAAGTTCGTGTTAAGCTCTACTTTTACTAACCTCATCTGTGTTGCAGGTATTGCTTTCCATTTGGTCGTCCTGAAGGTGCTTTGAAAGGAACTCTCTCACTTTTGGAAAGGGTGAGTCTAGACTATAGACATATGCTCGCCTTCAGTGCAGATTTTACGTACACAGGTGCTTATGAAAGACGTTGTATCTCCGGTACCACCTGAAGAAGTTCGTGCAGTTATACGAAAATGTCTTGAGGATGCAGCTTTGGTCAACTATACGCGGATCTGCAATGAAGCAAAGATTGAACGTAGGGTTTTTTGATATTTGAACAAAATTCTTCCTCCAAAACTGTCTTGATGTATAGTTAAATAAGCGCTTTTCTTCTCGTTCATTCAGTGATTATGGTGGTCTTGCCTTTTTCAAGATCTGCTTGAAAGAATCTTTTCAGAACGAATGGGTGTTGATGTGAGCCCTCAACAACGAATTGAGGATATGATGCGAGTCACGGAGTACTGTATCGATCTGCTCAAAGAAAATGAAGAACACCACGGGGAGGTAAGTATCTTTGTTTCTGCTTATTCACGTCCCTATATGTTCCTTCCTAACTCCAAATGGCCATTGCTCTCTAAGGCTGCAATACTTCTGTCCTTGAGTTCTTTTTCCTCCAGTTTATCTGTTCTATTTTTCATGTTTCTGTATCTTTTTAGCAACTGCGAGGGGTATGTCTTCAACTTTTCAAATATTTATGGTAATAATGGATTGTGAGAATCTATGGTTATATCTTCTTTTGCGTTTTTGTAAGGGTGTGCGTGTAAAAACCCTCTAATTCCTCACAGTTCATGGTGTGTTTAGCGTTTGCTGTCTTTGTCTGATGTATTTTGATCTCTGTGTGTGCTTTATGAGCGATCTGGTCATTTAGCAATTCAGTCAGTACTGACTGAAAGTGGTTACAACATTGATGATTTGTTAAATAGCCAGTTTTCTCATCACGTGTTCCTCGGTAAAAAACAACACTGTGATTCTTTCGTATATTAAAGTGTTCCTTCATTTGACACTTAGACGATAGTATCACTCCTCCCTTTTTCCCCACAAATCATGCTTCCGGAATGCGCCAGCACCATCTCATTCGCTATGGCACATTCTGAATAGTGAAGCTGCTAGAGTGTTTCGTGTTTAGCACTCCTACGCTACTCCCCAGCAAATAATTGCAATTGTGTGAAAGAAGGCTGTGCATTTCGTGGTTTCACTTTCAGAGAAATTTGTAGGAAATAGTGAAGCTTTTAGGCTTTTGCTTGGTTTTCCGATCTATTAGCCGATCATTCGGAAATCTTCTGGTCACTGTACTCTGTCGATCTCGACTCAGCAATGGAAATTCAACCACCGGATTCTTGGGATGCTTTTCCGTTGTTTCAAACACTCAATGACTTCTTGCTCAGTGAGAGTGGGTTTCTTCTGTTCTTTTGTTGTTTCAGTTTCATATCATTTGCTTTTATAAAACCACAATCTCTGCTTTTCTTAATCTTATTCTGTCTCTTTTTTCCTGCAAGATACATTGCAGAATCCCTTAATGGCGGCATATTCCACAAAAAGCTCACAAGCCAATTCCAACCATTGGTCGTGCGGTACACCGATTTGATGGAACACTCGATATCACAGTCGATAGACAAGGGCTTTTCGAAGGAAAAGTGGGAGCCGAGAAAGTGAGAGTTTGCACCTTCTATTTGTGCTCTTCATTTTTGGCTTTACATGCTAAAAAGCGTCGAGAATTTATCTTATTTTCATTTCACCACTACACTTACTAGCTTATCTATCCGATTATGTTATCAATTTCTAGAGAAGGATGTGCAACATCAGAAGACATATACTGGAAATTGGATGCTCTACAAACATTCGTGAGCGATTTAAACTGGCCCGAAGAAGAATTCCGTAAATATCTGAACGTCCGCATGAAGACTCTGACTTCCGATATGATCTCCAAAGTTGCCAGCAGGCAAGTTCCTATTTTATCTTCAGATGACGCAAGTCAAGCGTAATTTACAGTACTTACCAACAATTTGATGCTTGGATGCAAAGGGCACGAAAATCGACAGATTACATTTTGCCATCTGAGGTGTGCGTGATGATCAATGTCCTATTCAGCTCGAAGACTAGAGCGACAAGAACAGCTGTAGATGGAGGAGAGGTGAATTTGTCAGCAATTTATCATCTTTTGGATTTAGTAAAGCCTATGAAAGATGAGCTTGATTGAGCGAAGGATAAAGATTTTCTTTTTAAAACATATTTCAAGTTCAAGTATCAATCAAAGTTGGATGAAACATTGGACACGATGCTTTCTGACATGGAGACGTGCATACAAGACAAGTTGATTGGTGTTTTGGAATTTGTGCTTGGAAAACTCGCTCGCTACGATGAAGGGAATCCAATCGGTGCACTACTTAGCATGGCGGTAATCATCCATTTTTATGTGAGAGCTCGCAGATAATTAGATAGCTCTGTCCAGCCTAAACCCACCTCTATATTCAACAAGATGAAGAATATGGTGGGAGAACAAGGTATACATATGGGTGGTAACGCTGCTGCCACACCGACTACACCGCAAAATCAGGTAGTGCTGGTACTGACTGTAGGCAACTTGTCTTATGTACTTTTTTCAAAGAAGGCCCCGGTATCCCAACAACAATCCACTGGACATTTCGGAAATTCATACGTAACGTTCATGCGTGGTTGCACAGAGCAACTGAGGCAAATCGTTAGCGATGAAGTTTGGGTGAACACCTTGTTCGAGGTATTTTTCCCATTTGCTAGATGTTTGAGCTGATTATATGCAACGTTCAGAGATGGTATGCTAATCAAATGAAGATGATCAGCGAGTGGTTGACGGAGCGGCTGCAGCAATCACTCAGCCCTTACCAGTTCACGTGCCTGAATTTTATCGTCAAGGTGGGTTTACAATGTTCAACAACTTTTTTTTTCAAGAACTGTCCAGATGACTATGAGGTTTGAGGGGCGGGTAGTGCTCCGTTTACGTAAAAAGTGTTCTTTTCGTAATGAATTTTTTTTGCAAGATGTCATCCACTTTTAGAAAGTGTACAGCGATTTCGAACTTCAAGGAATTGATGAGGAGAAATTAAATGATAAAATGTACCAGGCAATCAGCCGGAGAATGCAGCTTGAAGAAGCGAATGTTGCACTTCACGAGCAGAGTAAGTCTATAATATTTTTGTGCATCGTACTTGAAAATTTCTGCCATTTTCCCATTTTCAATACCTGTTGTGTTCGCGATTTGTGTTTTATGTCCGTTTTACTGATTTTCTTATCATTCCTTACCAAGGTATGATAAGAATATCATTAAAAGGCGTAATTTGAAATTATAAAATAGCTCTGACGAAGCAAATTGGTTTAGGCAATGGACATGCTCAATCAGTATTCCCTTCCTCTCTGGGTAATGCCACCGCAGCTGTCTCAAATGTCTCCAGTATGGTTGAAGGGGCCGGTGCAAAAGTCTTCTCCTTTTTCAAGTAAAGTGCATACCTCTTTCATCTTCTTATTAACAGAGAGATCTCTTTAGTCCAGTCATTCCTTATAGTCTTCTTACTTTGACTTTATTGTATGCTACCTTCACTTTGCAGTGCATCTTCGCAATATTTTCCATGTAGATTCTCACGAGTGATCTTGCATTGTATTCCTTTCTTATTAATGTACTCAGTCTTTCCAAATGCTTCCCGAGTTGTGCATTACTAGTATTACGTGATGTGTGTTTGAATGCTATACGGTTATATTGGCCAGCTTTTGTGAAAAATTCGTTTTGTTTCTCATTGAAAGCAAGAAAAAAGAACTTTTCACAAAACAAGCTCCATTTTCTCTGCACCTCTGACCCTGATGTAAATGGAGCCTCTGCCTTAGTTTCGCTTCATAGTATGTGATCGGTGAGGGTGCGATCACACACAAAATAGGCGATTCGCTTCATTGTTTCTCGGATTTGCTGCAGGACTTATTTTGTGAGTTATCGCCTCTGTTTTAGTTGTCATTCCAATAGTAATAATGTTCCAATTACTTCTCTATACTTGCTTGAAGCATGTTGTTCACTTAATTCGTTGATATTTAACATGTAAGCTTGCCTTTGCCATATGATATGGAACCAAAGTTATATAGTATATCTTTCCAAAAGTAAACAGATTATATTGTTTCTCTGGTTGATTTGAAGTTTTTGAAAAAAGAGGATCTATAAGGTACTAGCTGGCATACCGGGCTCCGTCCGGCCCTGTCTGTGCACTATGATGATTGCCATTTTCGATTTTCTGCAGATTTCCCCGCCTCTGACCCCACTCCCTATCAAATTTTTGTATTCAGCATGCTCTCTTACTCCCCCTTCATCCTCGCTCCCCCTCCCCCCCGCTCTGCCAACCAGCCCCGTAGCTCAAAGCTTACAAAAAATCGATAAAATTGATAAAAGCGATCGACGATTTAATAGAACTGATGTTGTGTTCGTGGTCAGCAGGATCACTTACCCTCTGCCGACTCCCAACCCCGTAGGTCGAACTTCGCAAAAAACCGACTATAATCGATAAGGTCGATATTCGATCGATGACGAAAGGTATTTTATGCAAACGACCGACAAAAATTGATAAAGTCGATATTGATCCATGACGTAATACAAATGACACCCGGCCGTCCCCGAATTGATACGTGCTAAGTTTAGTCTGGATCGGTTTTCGGAACATACGTACGGACTCACATACATACATTCATACATACATCCAGACAAATAGACATTCAGCTTTGAGTATAAGATTTCAAATGTCAGCGATTAGTTCGTAGTTCAGTCATTTTTGGTGATATTTCTACCTTTACACCCTAAACAATGTGTACGGTCTGCCTCAATCGGGACCAGGCTGAATCCAGGTGGAATCTTAGGGGTAATTTTGCGCGCTTGCAGTACTGGTGGGTTCGTGCTGCATATGCGAGCTGGAAAGAGAGGAGGCTGGAGAGAAAGAGAGCAGACATGTAAGCCGTAAACGTGACGCGAAATATATGCGATGCGGATGCGCACCAGTCCAATTTTGGCCTGATCCGTGGCGCTAGCTGTAGGCAGTGCCTTCAACTCGAGTTTCGGAATTTATGAGCCTATTGGATGTGCTGTATCTGAAACCGTGCAAGCGCTCGCAAGAATGCCAAAAGTCCGCTTGCCATAGTGCGAAAGGGGTGTGGTTGGAAGTCAGCCCATTTGGCAACAATTGGCTGCTGCTTCTAGATGGATGGAGGTGTTGGCTGTGTCTCCGCCTATCTTGACGACGATTGGACCTTTGTCTCCACGGACCAGCCGCTCTTGAAGGCTGCGCTGGCTTCTAAGGAAAACGACTGACCCTTTGAGGCAGTTATTAGCCACGCTTATTCCGTGCTTTTTCAAGGTCGAAAATGACTGTTTGTCGTCTTTGTAGAGCCCAATGTAGAATCAATACGCGCAGGAGATTGAGCAAATGAAAATGGTTACTTGCTCAGTACCGCTGAAGTTTCATTGGCAGCGTTCCAGTAAAGCGTAGACAATCAAGAGGCGCGATCTCCGGTTGTTGCCAATTCAAACCTCCTTTTCAGTGATATGCGACTCTTCAGGAAATATCAGATAAAGACGAAATATGAAGTATTGCAGTTTGATTTTCAGTACATCCTAATTATAATTTAGCAACGGATTTGTGAATAGTCGATTAATCTTGGCATCGTCTACGTGATTTGATGAATAATTTGAGCAGTAGCTAAGACGTCAAATCTCCACAAATAAATCGCAAAGAAGAGTGCGTTGTTGTGACAACCTAATTAACTCCGTATCAAGCCCTTTTTGGATTTTGACCTACAGTTCTGAGTCAGGTCATGTGTGCCCAGTGGCGTTCCCAGGATTTTGGCTCGGGGACATACCCTCGATACATAGAGCCACGTACTCTGGTAACCTTCACTTTGAGGGCTATGAGGGGATAAAACCTTCACCTGGTAAAAAGCAGAAGTCATCCGGGGTTTCGCCCCGGATGTCATCATCCTGATTATATCGGAACAAATGTTAATGAAGCAAATATAGGGAATAATATCTTTAGCTTGTCTCAGCTAAACCAAGAATTTGCGTTTTCATAGCGTTTTTTTACCTTAAAAAAGGTTTCTGTGAAATTTTCGCCAGAATTCAGAACTGTTGGATGGAAAGGATCACCGATCTACAATATTTGATGCGGGAAAGGAAGAGGCCGATTTGACCTCGCAGCAGGGCATAAAAGGGGAAGAGAGAGGGGAGCTGCGAGCAGAAGAGGCTCGCGGGAGTCGAAAACTGGTCAGGAGAGAGCCAGACCTCCCCACGTGAAAACTCACCGAGAATTGATCCAAAGTGACCGTGTAAAGCCCTGCTGGAGGGACAAATCGGGATATTCCTCCCGATTTCGTGGTTTTCTTGTTGTTTTTCGTTCGTTGTTGGCCTTGAGGCTGTTGTTACTGATTGTTTTGCATACGGATAAATTTTATTGTTTTCGATCTGTTTGTGTGTTCCGTTATCAAGGTGGAAATCTTAAAATACCACTAGACACTAGCCCGCAGTTACAGAACGAAAATTCTTAGTTAACCTCTTATCTGAACAAAATCGAGTTTCAGAAGTTTAGAAAGCTATTGGAGTTAAATAAAAACGAGAAACTGCGCCTAATCTTGGTTTTGGTAGGGTAGACTAATGACTATTAATGAAAAAACCTCGTTTTTCAAATTGGAGGAATTTAAAAAATACAGTTTTTTGCCTTCTCTAAAATGCAGAAGCAAACGGTAGTTTTGCTTTCTTGGCAATATTTTTTTCCGCAGAAAATTTTTGGTAAAGTCTAAGTTCCACGCTACTATTGAATCGACCATCGGCTACACAAAGTTTGCTCTACTTTTGTCCTTTTGAGCACAGGTGCGATAGTGTGAGAATTTTCTCACCCCCTCTTAACCCCTGAGCCGGGACCAAATGACCCCCTTCATCAAAAGCCGAGAAAAAAAATCAACAGTGAGGTAAGGTTAAGCAAAGGGAACATTTGTGCGTGAATTGTTCATGTATAGGAAAGGAGGAGTCTGTTGAAAAAAGTGCTTGGTGACGGGTGTGAGTAGTGATTTCTAAAGATTTTCGAGTTTTTCACCTAAAAAATTCATAACTTTTGTGGATGAATATTTTTCATGGCGAAAAAGTCACCTTCAGAACCGCCTCGTTCTTCTCTCTCAGAAAATATACAGCATGTTTGAGATCCGTTCAAAAAAGTGCCTGGTGAAGAATGTGCCTAGTGATTGCTGGGAATTTTCGAGTTTTTAGAAAAAAATCCGTGACTACTGCAGATGAATAGCTGGTGCAAGGAAATAGTCATCGTCGCAACCGCCTCGTCCTCCGCTTTCAAAAAATATATAGCATGTCTGAGATTCATTCAAAAAAGTGCCTGGGTGAAGGGTGTGCTTGGTGATTTTTGAAGATGCTCAAGTTTTTAACATAAAAAATTCATAACTTTTGCAGATGAACATCTTGTACGCCGATATGGTCACCGCTGGAACCGTCTCGGCCTCCGCTTTCAGAAAATATATGCTTTGATGGGGTCCATCAGAAAAAGTCCCGGGTGAAGGGTGGGTGAGACTTTTATAATGGGAGTGCTCAAGTACAGGCTTTTTTACCATTGTAAAAAGACGTCTACTTGAGCATTTCCATTATAAAAGTCTCACCCACCCTTCATCCGGCAAAAAGTATATATTTTCTGAAAGCGGAAAATGAGGCGGTTTCAATGGTAACTATCACGGCGTACAAGATGTTCATCTAAAAAAGTTATGAATTTTTCTATGTTAAAAACTCGAAAATCTCCAGAAAATCTCCAGAAATCACTAGGACACCCTTCACCCAGGCACTTTTTTCAAAGGACCTCAGACAAACTATATATTCTCTAAAAGCGGAAGACCAGGTGGTTTTAAAAACATTTACCTTGCTGTCGTTGCGGTTCTACAGAAATTACGAATTTCTTCTTTGAAAAAAAATTCGTAAATGCTTAAAAATTGTCTACTTTCCGAAACAAATGTTCTCGCAAGCACATCTTCTATGGTAATTCCAAAAATAGGCAGGGCGATGTAAAAAAGGGAAAAGGAAATGTAAAAAATGTGATTGTATGCTAATCCAGCAGCATATCGGCTCACATTTCAGAAAAAAGACAAACAGTGATGGTAAGGAATTGGAAATTATGAACTGTGACTAGAAAAAATGATGGCTCTCCCCCCCCTTCCCCTCCCGTCGACATTTTATAAATTCTACCAAGTAAAACACCCTTCACCCTGGAGAAGTCATTCTCACCTTATCGCACCTGTGCTTTTGAGAGTAAGTTATGCTCTTTAAGACTAGAGCTGTCCAGAAAAAATATCCTCGTTATTTGAGCCGGAAAATCTTCCCCTTGTTGAGTACAATCACACAAAAGTATACGTTTGTAGCTAAAAGGTTGCTGCTTACAACAGTTTTTGAGCGCTCAGAAAGATTGTTTAGGTAAAGAATTATCTTCATTGGAAGTGGAAGTTGAGAAAACGTGCATTAATTATGAACCAACCTAATAGTAACGCGCTATCCATATAGGGGGTCTACACGTAGTCTCTCTGTTACTGGCTATCGAGGCATTAGCTTAGTTGACCTCTGCTTTATCTCGCAACTATTCGGGGATTCGCGCCCTGCGAGCGGTCCTCCTACAGGCACCAGCGCACAAACGGCCGATATAAACCTAAAGCTTCCTTGCTTGCGGCGAACGACAAAAATTCCGTTTAAGAGGCAGGCAATGTTACCGTGCGTCGGGCGGCAGTACATTTGTCCAAGCGAGCGGCCAGCAATGTGCCCGTCTGATCGGACGACAAAACCCGTGGTCATGCAAGCGGTCAACAGTGACTTTTATTTTCTCCTCGTAGTTGTCACACGCTGTGAGCCCAAACGGTACCTGTGTGAGATACGACGCAGCGTTTAGGCTGCCCTTGGTCATGATATGTCTGTACCAGCAGCGATCTTCGTTAATCAGGAGCTTGAGGAGAGTCTATGAGTTAGGCACTGTCAAGAGTGTAAGTGTAGATTCCCACATAAAATTGTTGGGTGAATGCTACACGATCCATGTTTTCGGATGTAAAAACTAACATACTAAAAAGATGTGATCAAAGTATCTCGTTACCCC